TTTAACTAGACTGAATATTCAAAAATCACTTCCGATCTCTGGGGGGATTTCAAGTTCGYCTTCGCCCATTTTTTTCCCTCAGATTTTGTTTTTGAAAATCGTCACTAACAGTTGTAGCCTAGTGTGATACAGACTAAAGCTGCATATTTTGCTCAAATAAAACCTGCTTTCATGCAGTAAAGCTAAATAAACGATACAGCTTCTGATGCAACCAGAGAAAACTTGTGYCATTTTTAACATTTTGTCAAAAAGCAGGAAGTTTGTAGACCAAAGTCTAAACATTTTCATTCACTCACCCATGTAGACATTTTCAGTGGAATTCCCCTTCTTCACCACCAGTTTCAACTGAAAGAAGGTGAAGTGTGTGCTCATCGAAGCTGAACATGTAATTGTGCGTTTGGCTTCAGAAAGTTGGTGTACAGAGTTCTTACCTGCAGAAAAATGTTACCCACTTTTTGAGTTTCACTGGTGCCAACGGTCACTGTGGGAATCAGAAAACATCAGATTACTTTATCTGTACAGACTCTACAGATCTATTTAAAATTAAAAGACAAAAATTTTACGTGGGGGTCGCTTTTAAGTTGTCTGACCCCCAATTTACAGTACATGTGTTCCGGCTCCGCTCTGCTCCGCTCCGACCTCCACAGCAAACACACACCCATTATAACCAATGAGAGTGTTTACACTGGCGGCACAGGGCGGGGGTGAGCGGACGGCGATCCGGCAAAATTAGACCCGATCCTATTTCTGCCAGACGCCGGAGCACAGGAAGAGGAACGAGCACAACATCCGTATTTACAAAATAAGACACTATTAGGCAGAATAATGTCGAAATTGCAGCTATATTAATAAATTTATGGATTTATTTCTACAAAAATGCTGTCAGAATGTATCTTTCTGTTTGGGAAGCAGATGGAAACATGTAGCATGAAGCATATGCGTACACACATGATACACGTGGATTTTATTGTGAAATCAAAAGTTTCAGAAAGATGACAGTGATACAGTTTCAACCATAGATATCAAAAGCTTTTACATCAATGTTTTCAGCTGTGTTTGGAGTTCGTCTTTCACAGAATTAATTATTTTTTGCTCTGACTTCCACATTTATCACTGAATTTATCGCACGATCTCCTTGCTGCACACTTTCCTGACACCCTCCATCCTCTGTGTGTCGGACCGGAGCTGAGCGCAGCGGAGGCTGTATAAATTGGGGCACAAATGAACAGCTGCGAACTGCGCACCGCAGCACAGTGGAGCGGAGACGCATGTAGTGTAAATCCGGGGTGAGACAACCTATATTTGTTTTGGACAACCAGATCCTACCTCCTAGTTGCCCGAAGGACAACCAAGTGAAATCATGGATTTAAGTGTGCCGGTGCAATGACAAATTTCCATTATTTGTAAAAATAATAGGAGGAAAAAAAACATTTTGTTGTTAAAGCTGTTCACCTAATGATGATACAGGATTTAAACTGACGGTTCTTCCAATTAATAAAGAGAATCACAGAGAACAGTGAACCCAATGAGAGCAACGTAGGGTGGTTCGTGCTGTATGATTGACAGCGGCTGTACGCAGCAGTGTTCCCAGATTTGATCCAGACTGCYGGTGAAAGCTCCTAGACTTTCCTTGAATATTTTCCAAGAAGGACTATGGTTTTCCATCTCCCTGGGCTGCCAATCTTATGACGGAGGGGTTTGAGTGTCCCAATGATCCTAGGAGCTATGTTGTCAGGGGCTTCATGCCCCCATTAGGGTCACCCAAGGCAAACAGGTCCTCAGTGAGGGTTCAGACAAAGTGCAGCCCAAAGACCCCTATAATGAGTGCTTTAAATGAGTGTAGTGACTGAGTGTTCCTTGGACACAGGTCATGTGGGATTCACCCTTGGAGCCCGGCCGCTGGCTGGGCACAGCCCCAAGAGGAGACGTGGGTTCCCCTTCCTATGGGCTCACCATCTGGTCCACCATCCAGCGTCTCAACACGGATCACTGTTAATGGTGGGGATGGTGTGCTGCTGAKCRCATTTGTTGTTTGATATTTATTTATTTTCAGKTATTACTTGACRACTGCATTATCTGTGTTCTTAAAGTCAGCAGGTATAGGTCATACCATTTTTTATGTTTTGCACATCTGTGGGGTAACATTTGACTAAAATGTTAATGTCTTTAGTGCTATATCACTTTTTATGTTTATGRCATTCAAATAAATGATGTGGCCTTTATTACCCTGTTATGTCTCAACTCCAATAATTTGTTTACAGTAATGGTGTTTTCCATTTGGCACTTAATGATCTAGCTAAAACTTTAGATGTTGTTAGTAAATAGTTTAAAGCAGTGGTTCCCAAACTTTTTGTCTTCTGACCCACAAAATATCCATGGCTTGTGACCAACTATTACTGGTCTGAGTACACAAACTTTGTTAATAACCCTAAAAACACAGGCTTTTTGACAATCTAAACAGTTTGTACACAAATATAAATAC